TAAGACAAAACAACTGACAAAACCCGACTTTCTTCTTGCTTGGACAGGTGTGTACTTTTTTTGCTTGGGCGGCACTCACCATGCCGGGGTAGGTAGGGTAGGTCTGGGCCCTCCCGTTGGGTTTTTCCCTCTCTTCACGCCGGAATTTTCACAGCATAAAAAGAAAATTTCCGCCAAAATCACGATGTCAACCCTCCCCAAATGGGTGATCTGATGCTTGTAGGGCTTGAGAGTGGCCTGCCATGTCACAAGAAGGACTGTGGATGCAGGAGAGTACCACCAACCATCACTTTAGTTGGTATGGTACCCCACCTTCACCCGTCGTGATTTCTTTTTTAGTTTCCCATAAGTAGGGTAGGTAGGTAGGTAGGTAGGTACGGGCACCGCAGGGGCCGGCCGGGTTTTTCCAGAATTTCAGCATGAGTGCCGCCCAAGCAAAAAAAGTACACACCTGGCTTGGATGGGGGCGCAGTACTACGACGCGAAGTGGGTCAAGAAAGCCTAACGCGGCTGGTGCTCCGTGGAAACTTTGGGTGGCATTGCGCCGCCCACCAAGCAGTTGCCAGTTCCTCCACGTGTTCGGCTCTTCGGCAAGGAAGCGCGGGGCACCAATTCGGACCGGACGGTGTACGGGGCGGCGCGTCGGCGAGCGCCTCTTCCTTTGTCGTGTTTTACACGCAGCAGGATCTCCATGGCGGCGGTGGCGGGCGACGCCGAGAACATCAACAAGCAGGCGCGCAATACGGGTGCTGGGTCAAATCCCCTGGCTGGGCGTGCCAAATGGGTCAACGACGTCAAGAACAAGCAAGCGGCAGACGTCCTCTTATCCTTGGCCCCAGTGGGGGGCGCCCACGCCGCCTAGCTCTGTGCGGGCGGGCCCCTCCACCCTTCACGTACGGATCATGTAGTCCCCACAATCGCTGTCGTGGGATCGCTTGTCCTCCAGTGAGGGGAGGGCGAGACGATCGAGGGGTCCCGTACCACGCGGAATCGACCCTATCCAGTGCTCGGCGTGACAGAGTTCTTCTCTCTTGCTTCCGGAAGAGCAGTCCTCAATCGTCACGTAGAGGTCGCTGGGCTGGATCCATCGAACTGCCTGCCACACACCTGGAGCGGAGGCACATCAATCAAGGTCTTGCGGCACACTCTCTCTTCGACAGATGCATGCCTTTTGAGCAAGGGCCGGGGAGTGGAGAAAAGCGCACCCAGCGGGCCGCGGGGCCGGATGATCGGCATCGGGTTACGGGCTAGAGAGCCCTAGCCCCGGGGAAAGCCGCCAGTTTGTTTTCCTTGCGGATGCTCTTCCGTGTCGAGTCATGCCAGTACTCCCGCGCAGACTAGAGGCCACCAAGCAGACGGAGGCCGCATGGCACACCTCCGAGGAGCGTCGCCGCGTCGTCATGGCCTGGGCCCACTCGGGCATGCAAGGGTGGCGGCCGACCATGGAGGACGACACCGTCGCCGAGTGCCTCGACCCGTCGGGCGGCACGTTTGTCTTTGCAGTGTTTGACGGGCACGGCGGCGACTACTGCTCGCGGTGGGCCGCCCGGGAGCTCCCGCGCCGGCTGCGCGCAGCCATGGCCGCTGCCGCCGCCGGCCTCTCCTTTGAGCACGGCAGCGGGAGCGGCAGCGAGAGGACGCCGCCTCTAGCAGAGGCGCCGCCTGTAGATGCGGAGCGCAGCCCTCTGCAGTCGCCTGGATCCTGCCACGTTGCGCTTGGGAACGCTGCACAGCCCGCACGGCCACTGCACACGAGCACCTA